AAACTCAAGAGAGAATTCAACTAAATGATAGAGGAAAAGATACATAAAATATAATAATAATTAACAAAAAATGAGGAAATACCACCTTACCAGGTTACATAATGCAGCTTTGTTCCAAGTCTCAAGTTAGCATGTACGTGTCAGTATATAGACTTTTAGGAAGGTAGCCTATTCAAAGCGGCATTACAAAAACCTGTACAACTGGTTTAATTGGGGTAACTTAGAATTACGTGTCAACCGTTTGTTGAAACATGTAACGAGTGAACATGTGGAATACCTTGTTAAGGTTTCGGCTGGGTATAAAAACAAAACAAAAACAACAACAAAAAACAAAGTCAAAATGAGAAAAGAAACAAGAGACAAAATGAAGAGACAGATCTATGGAAATACTTCATTTATATTTATATATTCGACCAGACAATCACATAAAATTAGAACCCGGCTAACAACTTGGTGATATTAAAAATGTTTATGTGAATAAATATTTTATTTGTTTCTTCATTGGGGTTTATTTGTTTTAATTCGCTGTCCACGTTCAACTTAGTCTTTGCTTAACAATCTCGAACTAGCATCCCATCCTACATCATTAATGTGACGAAAAAGACTGAAGGACGAAAATTAACTAATCTATAGGTTTGTTACTCTGCAGCCAAAGCGAATGAAAATAATACTTTAGTTATCGATTTTATTATATTATATTATATACATATATATATTTAATCACGTAGTTTATTATATTACTATTAATCAATATACAAGCAAACTATTTTTCAAATATTTGGTTAGTCATATGATATTGTTTAACTGTGCGTGGCTTTCGACTTAATTGCCTTTGTCTTATAACCATATTCTTGTTTATGACATTATATTAATTTTTCATAAGAAATACGTTTTCGATTTAAATTACCTAGTATTCTCGAATTTTCTCCGCTACCTATATAAATTTAATTGCCTTCGAATCACGTAGTTTTTTTGTAATGCAACATCACGCCAACTGCAAGTCAACAGTTACCTAATTATCCTTTACATACCTCGGTCAATACCTTAGATGGAAAAACAAAAATTTAGTAATAGTTGGTGAGGTCAGTACAATATTTAAATATGTTTTATTCAGTAGGAAAACTTTCAAATATTACCAATCTAACTGAGGTTAATATTTTTCTGATAAAAGAAACAATAAAATGCTTTTATCATAAATTTATAGATTAGTTTTAAAGAACAAACACATTCATTACTAGGAGTACTTATTATTCATTTACATAGTGAGTCACAATTAAATTCTATTCTCTCTTTTTTTTTATTCGTATTCAAATAAATACATCAACATCATAAAGAGCGTTTACAATAGTGTTACGCGAATGATGAATTGTTTGAGAAATATGGGTAACCATGGCGGACTTTTGTTTTTCTAGAACACAGAAGAGCTACGTGAATATTTTTATTCGGACAAATCAGCTCGTTGTATGCGTAGGCAACAAATAGATAACATGTTTTAATTTTATAATAATCCCAATATCGAAGGGTAAACTATGAAAACTATCTAAGGAAACTGGTTCTGTCTTACGAATGGTAAACTATGAAAACTATCTAAGGAAACTGGTTCTGTCTTAGAATTTATCTCTCTTTCTTTTTTGTTGTTTCAATTATAGTAATTGAGATTTACAACTTTTAAAACTCTTCTAAACACTATTAATATTAACATCTTTCTCACTATTATAATCATACTTAAATATTTAATGTGCATTCTTAATTGCTTGAATTCTTACTTTTTAATCAACATAAATCTAATAACCGCTAATTATCAACAAATAATCTTTATCTAAAATTACTTGACAATCATTTAGGAATGCTTATATAATTATGAGAACATAAGAACAATCACGCTGGCGGGTCATTGACTGAGAAAGGTTATTAGTTTTATCCTTTCAAATTAACCAACTGTACAAAAATTGAAGCTAGGTTAAACCCTTTCTTTTATATATATCTATTCAAAATAGTCACAAATGAACTGACATTTTCAATACATATCTTAATATTTGATAGATAAAACTGAATTTTGGATCACAATAGTGAAACTTTTGTCTTCCAAAAAATCCGTGAGCTTTCTTTTTATTTAATCTTATTTATTAATTTCCGTAGATTATTTGATCTAAGAACTCTTCCATTTTTCTTCCTGTTATAATCATGTTTTATAAATGGCAATTATAAAATTTAATTTTCTATAAATTCTAGAAACTTAGGATATGTGAATAGATAAATAAAGTAAGAATATTGGTTTGAATTTCGCGCAAAGGTATATGAGGTCTTTCTGCGGTAGCCAGTCATCATCACCAAGTCATTCCAAGTCTTGGGATACTCTTTTACAAACGAATAGTGGGATTGACCGTCACATATAAAACCCCCACGGCTGAAAGAGCGAGCATATTTGATGGGAAGGGGATTCGAACCCGTGATCTTCAAATTGCGAGACAATAAAACAATGAGATTAGCTAATTCTTCTTCTTTTTTTTTTTTGCCTTTTGGTGGGACAGCGATAAATCTTCGAATTTACAATGCTAAAATCAGGGTTTCGATTCCTTTCGGTGGGCACAGCAGATAGCCCGATGTGGTTTTGTTACAATAAAACACACACACACACTTCTTTTTTTAACGAATAACAATTAATTGCCATAAGTTACCAACAAATGACAGGGTTTTTCGAAACGAGAAAAAAGAGTATTGGATTTTTTTTTAGTGTAAAATGCTCCACTGGAAGTAGGATCGAAAGATACTCTTTTCACAAGTAATATATTCATTTCCCAGCATAAAGTTATAAAAAAGGTAACAACTTACCATCCTCTACATATGTATCCAAATTAAAGTATTGGATTTTAGAAATGTAAGTATTTTTTTGTTTTTGTTTTGTAGAGAACAAGTGTTACTCATGATAAAGATAATTTAAGTGATATCTAGCGTGTTCAATACGGAAAAGTTAGCAGTATATTAGGCAGAACAAACTTCAAACATTTTCTGATAAAACAAAATCATTAATATGAGTTAGAATCTTAGTCTAATTATCCAATGTATCTTTAAATTGCAAGTTTACATTAGACTATCAAATAGCATTTTAATGTTGTATTTCACCACATACCAAAGATAATTTAAATTTAGATGTAAAAATGTGGGAGGGGGCTAAAGCTCATCCAAAATTAAAAAAAAATGTTTTGGAGAAATTGGTTAAGTTTTATGCATAACATAAATTCTATCTGAGCACTAAGTACTTTAGCTTACGAAATACGATGCAACATTGGTAAAACAGACAAGTTTTACCACTTCAGTTTCCATTTGAAAAAAATGTAGTTCGTAAAGATTTCTTTGTAAAATGCATCTTAGTGGCATCATCAGAAGGAACTATTGAACATAATTAAGATATCAAAACAATTATTATTAAGTTTATTCTAAGAAAAAATTAACACACACATGTATTCTATCAAACAGTACCTTCGCATACCCTTGTTATGCATAAGCTATAACACGTATTATGCGTATCATGGTTTCTAAAAAATGTTTTTGTTTTTATCTTGTTAAAAAACCTGTTTGTTTTCTACAAAAGAATTCCTAAGTGGATACTATATATGTATATATTACCATGTATCACATAAGGGATTTTTTATATATTTTATTCACAAAAAGAAAGCATATGTATACAAGCACATCATTTTAGTTTTAATGTATGTACGCTATAATGAAAATTTAAAGCTGAAAAATGACTTGCTTAAGGTAGACACAGAAAGTTTACTAAAACAAAAATTTTAACTAAGTTATTTTGTCCATGGTCGTCCTTACGAGTAATTTATAAGCGTAAATAAACTTGTTCTAGTAAAAAAAAGATTAATAGCTTTCTTATTTTTGTTTTAGCTGTAATATCGTCACGAATGTCCAAGCATAAAGCATGGTTTCAAAAATATAAAAAAAATCTGTAAAAGTGTTCTTATCCATATAGTTAAATTTTTTATGTATAATAAAGTGGCTAACATATTGCGTGATGTTACGAAATTCTAATTACGAAAAAAAAAAAAGAACGAAGAACTGCC